AGAGGAGACTTGCTGCTCTGAGATGTCTTTGAATGAAACACTTCATAAGTTCTGGATGCAGAAGAGCTGGTGGAAGGGGGCTAACGTCATGCTTCTGCTGCAGTGTGCTTCTGATATGTGGCAATAGAAACTTTCTGTTGACCTTATACGGTAGCAGGGGCAGTAAAGCTGCCTATATGTGCAATCATTTATCCCTTGGGTGGTGCCTAAATTGAGTCACCCACTGGGTCAGGGAATCTTCCCCAGTGAGGCCTACCTCCTGGTGAGGTGGGGACGTGGAAGGCGCTGTGCTCCCTCCCGGCACCCTATGGCACTGCTGCTTTGAGCAGCAGTAGTTAAAATGGAGCAGTCTGCTTAGCTTTTGCCATGCAAATTTGACCCCGGCAGGGAAGTGAGAATGGAGAAGGAAGCATTTGCCATGGGATGCACATATTCTGGACACATGTCCGTGCAGTCCCCTACCCATCCTCTGCGCAGATTTGAGAGACCAATGGTAGATAGCTTTTACCTGTAGCTTACCAAGGATTAGGGTACTTGGAGGATGTGTCCTGCAAGGCCCTGCAGTAGTTTCTTGCACAAGGAACGGCAGAAGTGTAGGAGACACCAAACTAGACTACAGGATAGAGGTGGGGGGTTCCTTTGCATCATACACTTGCAAAACTAGCTTAGAAGGCATCTGAATGGCAAAAATCAAATGATCTAATTGGCTCATAGTCACCAGCAGAGCAGAAACCCAGGATCTGGTGATGAGGCGCAACATTGCCAGTTCTCATACCCTGGCATGGCAGAAGCAAGGGCTTGGAGCACCTATGCCTTTGCTAGCACTATGCTCTTAGATTAAACTACTTTATTTAACAGCAAAAAGAAAAACTTTCTGATTGCGGCACTGATTGTCGAGTGGACAGTCCACAGCCCATGACGCCGTGGTGTGCTTTACTTTGCAGCTGTTACAAGGACTACGTGGATAAGGAGAAAGAAATGTGCTGTCGAATGTTTGCCCCTCTCGACTCTTCTCCTGTATGAGCAGAAATAAAGGTAATCAAGTCATGAAAAAGGCTGAGGTCTCCCCAGACCTCTGATAGCTTGCCTAGACAGTGTTTTCAGGTGGGGAACCTGTTTCTTTCCTGCACAGGAGGATTTTGGAGGCAAAATGTAACTTAAAGGGAGCGTGTGGAGGGCAAGGGGCAGGAAGGTAGGATGAAAGGCTACTATGCTGTCTGCTTGGAGAATCTTTCCTGCCAAGCAAGCTGGCATGGGACAGGAACCTGAGACTGGCAGCACTTGAGTAAGTTTGGTTTTGTTGTTTTCCTGTGCTGCTTATCCTAGTTATTGCCTCTCAGAGCCGGGGGGAGAAATAGCTGTGTAGTCTTTTTTCTCTGCCAATTAAAAGAAACAAAAAATTGTTCCTGTCAAACTTAGAATTGGATTTCCTCCTCCCTTCCAGCAGTCCTGTCTTGAGCTGCTGGAATGCTTCACTTCAGAAAAATCTAAATATTTTATTTCTTTTTTTTTTGAAATATTAAAAAGCCTGTTTGTATAGAAAATTTCAAATAGATGTTTTGGTCTCTCTAAAGTCTTAAATCTTCTGGCAAAATTGACAGGGTTTATAAATGCACAAAGGCTCTTTGATCATTCTTTTTTTGTCAAAACCTTGGGAAGGGAGGGTGAAGGGGAGTGGAAATCTTCGCTGGTCTCTTGCCTCAGGGTAAGCCCTAGGGAAAGGGTTGTGGAAAATGACAGCAGCCTTCTGTCGGAAAGCATCACTAGCACAGGGCCTTCAGGATTTGCTGCCATGCTGTCTCATACAACACAGCAATATTTTGCTGAAAATGAGTATTAGCAGCTTTTCTGTCGTGCGTAGTGAGAATGCAGGGTGCAGCCATGGCATTCTAAGGTTGGCTCTTTCTAGATTCTCTTGTCTGTGGTTGCGATGAAGCTAAACTAGTATTTGAGGAAGAGGTTTGATTGAATGGCTGCTTCATAAAGCAGCACATCCCGCTTCTGACTGAATGTGCGTCCTTGCTGTAGTTCTTACCCCTCCTGTCTCCCCCAGGCCCCTGCTCTCAGCTGAATATATTGTTAAACTGCTTAAGAACACAAATTCTTCTACTCCAGGTTCGTGAGGAGACTGGCCAGATCTATTAAAGGGTACCTATCCCCAGGCAAGCAGCTATGAAAGGGGGTTTTATGACTGACGTGTGGTCTTGCCAGAGGTATGCAGGAAGTCCATAGCTCTGCACTTGGCAAGGAGGCTCTGAGTCTGTTTGCTGAATTTCAGAGAGTTGCAATTTGAAAGCCTATATGACTTGCATCTCACATTTCTAACTGTAGCACTTAGCAGTGCCTGAACTGGGGAGCCTGTGCCAATCTGCATCAGCTGGCCCTCCTTCGTGACAGAACTTTGAATGAACCTGATCGTCTCCTGGGTCATGAGAAAGACCTGCTAGAACAGAAAGCAGGGTCTAACAAAGCATGGTGGGAGCACTGAGTCTTGTCATCGCTATGATGTCAAGGAATGTCTCTTAATTAACAGCTAAAATCTTATGCTAAAAATGTTGGCTTCCCATGTTAATTTTTGCTCTATGGAACCCTCTTGGCTAGGGGGAGAACAATACCTTCTTGGTGGTGGTTTTACATAGTTTTATCTCTTGTTAGAGCATTTGAGGTGTGTCTGTTGGCAGAGGCTACCTTACAGAATTTAAATAAGTCTTCCAGACAAATATCAATCACTGACTCCGTTATGACAAACTATAGTGCTTACTGCTGCTGTTAATTCATCATAAGAAAAATCTCTCTTACTAGAGGAGGTTCTTGAAGGGCGGGCAGGGCCTTGTGCTAGCTGGAGGATGGTTTGCTGCAGTGTCTTGCCTAAAACTGCAGTACATATTCAGAGAGGAACAAAGCAGTTCCAGCTGAAACTCCTGCTCTGTATCAAAGCATTGCTAATTAGTCAGAAATGAGGCAGAACATTCTTTTGTGTTTTTTTTGACAGCTTTGTACAAGTTCAGCTTAGGGCATGAGCCGTACTTGGTCAGTCGGACAGGCCTGTTTCATCCTTTCTGTCTTAAGTAGTTAGTGATTAGGTGGCCTGTAAACTTTGCCTGTAGCTGCACGAGCCAGTGGAATCACAAAAATTACAGAAAACTTTCCTGTTCACCAGCTGGTAGGTACTTGCTAAACATTGAGCTGACCAGTTGTCCAGTTTGCCAGCTAAATGACTTGAGTCAAGGCTACAACTCTTTTCTCTCTTGTGAGACACTACTATATCCCTCTGATTCAGAGCTCTGACCCAGGTAGGTTTGATATGTTTTGGTGAATTTTGCAGTGCTTGTTTTATTACAGGAGCAAATGGTGGTTTTTTTTCCTCTGTACTAAATAGTCTGGGGCTGTGTTGCCTTTTCCATAATGACACTTAAAACCAGACGCACTTGAACATACTCATCTTGCCTAGTATTTCTGCATCCCTCTCACTGTAGAGTCCAGTTCCTGTAATTGCCACAAGCAGCATCATGCTCAGGGTACTCTTTCTTCCTTTTTAGTGGAATACACTTTCTTCCTTTTTAGTGGAGTTCTGGGTCAGAATAAATCTTAGCCTGCTGAAATTTGAGGTTGCTTGTTCTGATGCTTCCTAGAGGAATTCAGTAAATATTCAGGGGTAGAAATAGAAGTGAGAACGCTTACAATCTTAAATCTGTCCCTCTGCCGTTCCTTGCAAATACAATGGCTTGGGTCTCATGCACATCCCTCCGTGGGTTTGGGTTGTTTGCCTGCCCCTATACACCTGTGTGGTGTGTCATGTGTCAGGGCAGGTTACCTGGTATGTGCATAGCTGAAAGCTCCTTTTTGGCCCCTAAACTGCAAACTGTGGATGGACAGAGGCTTACTGGAGCTTTCTGTTCCACTAAAGAGCACAGCTTTTTGGTGAAAGACTTTTAAACCCTGTATTAAAAAAAAAAAAAGAAAGAAAAAAAAAAGAAATTAGAAATTTCTTATCATTACTGTAGTCTTTCATGAGCAAGAGAGAATTTAATCATGAAGAGAGTAGACAAATTCCTTAGAAATGTCTGGATTCTAGTGGAGGGTCCTTGGTGATAGTTTAATTTCAGAAAGATGAGTCTTTTTAAGTGTAGTATCCCCCGCTACAAATTGAAAACTTGGCTCTAGTGTGCATCTCAGTTCCAGTACACAGGAGAAGTGGTCTCAGCAGTTCAGAGTGTACAGGGAAGTGTTCCAGCGAAAACAGACAATATTGAAATTATGGCAGGAAACTATGACTCCGAGGTCAAACTTGAGATTGCTCCGAATAGCAGGGCCTAGCAATTTTGAAGCCATTATTTGGTGAGAGTTGGCTGCAGAACTGGGGCTGTGTCGCCAGGTAGAAGTGAGTATAATTGGGCTTAAAACCAGCAGTAGTTGCCAGTTAAACTGACCTAATAAGCTAAAAGAGACTTGCAAATAAGCTGAGAAGTATGCGCATAACACAGTCAAAACTCCTGACTTGGGAAAGCTCCAGACTTTGAGTAAACAGCAACTTGCTGCTTCCCCTCTTGCTTTCCCTTATTGCTGAGACGAAGATCTAAAATGTGCCTCCTGCTGGTACTGTCCCTACCCACTGTGTAAAGCTGAACAACACAGAACCCAGCAATTTCACTTCTTCTTTAGAAGATGCAAATTATCATACCACAGAGATGTCCTGTGTTGTGAAGAAAATTCTGTTAAGTATCTGCTTTATGCTAAGTATTGCTAGAGCTAGTGGGAGAAGGCTTGAAGGATGACTTAATTAAGCATTCTCCTTGCTAAGCAGAGGAAGAAGAAAAGCTTTAATAAGGTGGCTGGTGGTTTTTTTTTCTATGTTTGTTGTTCAGATCTCTTCCCCCTCTGGCATCTTTCCTTTTTCAGAGTTTTGCAGTTGAAGTTTATGGTAGTGCCTCTAACAGCTTATGAATCCTTCAGAAAGGTGAGGTCTCTCCTAAGCCTGAGCAAAAACACAGAATGATCTAAGTTGCTGTGTGCACGGTCTTAGGCCAGCCGTGGCCAGGCCGTTGTCCTCGTTTATACTACCAGCACTGGGAGAAATCAGTGTTACTGAATGTGAGTGTCCTTGTGTCTCACTACTTCAGCATGGAACTGCTACACAGAAGGGCTGTGTTATCAGGGCCAGCTTCTGAGTGCTGTTACCAGCAGGCGTAGCTGGGGCTGAACAGAAGATAATTCCAACATGCACTAAAAGAAAAAACCTGCAAACGATGAGGGGGCAAACCATGCCCTCGTGGCTGATTTTGAGGGGGATCCTAGGCTAGATTATTGCTTGAACAGCACTGCAGCATTCATTGTTATGCCTGCCATAGTGGCAATAGCGCTTTGCAACAAGACAACTTTTATGATTCTCAGCACCAAGGGGCAGTAGGTACCAATGATGGTTTCACGTCTGGGGATGTTGCTTTTGGGAAGGCTCTTTGCTGAAGACACAGGGAGTGTCTTGGCACTGTTGTGAGTTGGTTTGCAGATCTACAGAGAAAATTGTTGCTTGCTTACTCTATTTCCGGTAACGGTAGAGATGACCCTCATGTGCTTCTCCCAGTACCCACTCTGCTTTATCAAGGAACTGTTGATTTGACATAACGCTGAGCATTACTGACAGGGTAGTTGTCTGAGCTTATGAAGTCCTGGGAGCTGTTTTAAGGATCAGTTTCAGGCTAGACTTGCTGGATGAAGTCCTTTCTGACTTAGATAAGTATGTGTTGAATAGTTCATCCTTTCCTTTCTCCTTCCTGTAATTGTCCCTCTTGTAAAACCCCTTGTTCTCCTGAAAGTGGTTTTGTTCCTTTGTCTGGGTGCTGATTTAAGGGACAATTTTAGAAATGCTTGGGAAAGAGCTATGCTTTTTGTTTCCCTTCTTTGCTTTAAGTGCCCTTGCCTTATCATAGACCTGAGCAGACTTGACAAACCCTTCTGCCGTGATCTCAGATTCAGGATGATAGTGCATGTCATCAGCATTCAGTGTCTTTGGAATCGAGACTTGTTAAAGCTCTCTGAATGTATCCTTCCACTTAAATGTCTGTCTGGCTTAGAAGCAGTACTTGAAACTCATCCTGGATCCTTTGCAGTGCTGAGAATCATAACAAATTGACTTGCAGAAGAGACATCCTGAGAAAAGCAGACATGTAAGCACAGGTCTTCAGATGTCAATGAAAGTTCACATAGCTTTTGCACCTTCATCTTTGCATTTTGACATCTGGTGCACCTTCAGTAGGGTAGACATAATAGCTCTTGATCAGAGAGCTTGTTCAGGCCTAGGTTTCCTTCAGACCTGGGGAGTCTCTGAGCTTCTGCATGTTGTTTCAACGTGCTTCACTCTGAAGATAGGCTTCTTAGTAATCTTGGACACAAAAGTCAGTCCACTTGAAGCATTAGCAGCTGGACATCCCCAACGAACACATTAGGGGGAGAAATGAGTGTATGGCTTACTGCAAAATCACTTTCAGAGGTAGCAGATAAGCAGTATCCAAATTCAGATATTTTTTTGAAACCATGTTGCATGTTCCCTGTGATGGAGATATGTAGTGTGCTCTTTTAATAACTGCCCAGAGAAAAGTCTAGCGTTCTAAATAGCTAAGCTGTTTCTTCTCTCCATATGACAATGGATTACCCAGCACATCTTGTTATCAACCTGCCGATAACAACCTCAGTGCCTGCTGCTTTTGCATCCAACTCTAGCCTCTTCCTGCTGCGCTTGATGTGCTTCAGAGCTAGAGATCGGTAAGAAAATAGTATGGAGAACTCCATGCACCCTTTCCAAGCCTCGTGCTTTGAACTTAAACTGCTTAATGAGATCCCTGTGCAATGATTACAGTACTGCGCTTCTATATTTGCCATAACTGGGCTTTGTTCTTGCCTTTCAGAAGAGTTATGGCCTGTTAGTAACCTCTTATGAGGTCCACACGTTGCATTTAAGAGAGCATGCTTGCTTCCTGGCAGCAGTAGTTTTTCTCCAAGCTTTCATATAAGAACAGAAGTTCCTTGTAGGGTTTTGGGTGAAGAACGCTTCTCAGGCAATTACCCTTCAAGAATATCTTAGCTCCTTTGTAGATCTGTGCTCCGGAGGTGTGCACATAACATGCACTTTTTCCAAAGTGCTCTTCTGCAGCTGTGGCGTGAGATGTACCCTATTGTTTCAACTACCAAGTCAAAACTTCCCTTCCTTTTTTCTCCGTAGTCAATGGCCATCCCATTAGGGTTTAAAGACAGGTGGTGTTATTGACAGAATGCCTCCCTTCCAAACACATGAAGTCTGCTTTTCTCTAAAAGTAACTGTTGTCTCCTAAAGGTGTTTCTCTGTGATATAAAAGTTAGTCTAGACTTCCAGGCTATATTCTCTCACAAAGTTGATTACTTGCGTCTAAGAGGAGTACTCTTTTCAGTATGGGTTATCTCAATGCAATACTGTTGGGAGGTGCTGCTTTAAAGCATGGGCTTAACGAGAACTAAACTGGCAGGAGCTATGCCTTGTTGGGTGCGCACTTGCTTTCCAGATTCCTTGTGTTTTGGCAAAAATTTGATCTGCTACATTAGGTGCCCGCATGGCATTGTCTTTTCCTGCAACCTTTCTAGAGGCAGGAAAGGAGGAACTGGATGAGAGGCAACTACAGTTGCTTGCGTAAGAAAGCAGCTTAAACCAATTTTAAGACCTTAGTTAAACATTACCTGTTAACTATGGCTTTAATGCAGAGTAAAGGTGATTGTGATTATAAATGACCAGTGACCTGACATGTTATTTACTGTAAATGGATGATCAACTGTCTTGTCCTTCTGAAGAATGCATTAGAAGAGCTGGTACCAGCGGACTTGCGTCTGAACTTCAAAGTGTGTGCGTGTGCTTATATGTGTGTTGCTGCCTTGTGTGACTGAGTGAGCTGCTGCCAACCTGCTTTTCAAGGATGGAAACAAACATTGGAGCGGAGTCCTAGTTGGAGCATGCCGTTCTCCTACCTGCAGGAGCAGCAAACACTTTGAACACAATCCAGCTCTGTGCGTCTTCAGGGCCATGTGTTTCCCTTCCACTTTTCTTTTGATTGTGTAGCCATTAGGTGGAAATGAAAGAGATGAACTGATCAAACACTCCTTGGAATGGCTTTAGGGTTTCAGTTTGAATATATTTTTTTTAATTAGCTCCATGTAAAGATTTTATTACTTCAAATAGCAGCCATGAAACCAGCAGACTTGCAGTTTGATCCTTTGTTTTTCTGGTGCACAAGAAGTCTCAGTAGCTGTAGGTTTTATACCCAGCTAGACCCTCTGAACCACAACTAACAGCCAGTGGAAACATCAAGTGATTATCTTATAAGTATGCCTATCAGGGACACACAAAAAGAAGTGCTCTGTGTGTTTAGTATTAGACTGACAAGTAGCAGAGGAGAAGGCAGCTGCATTTTAACAGGAGCAAAGATGCTTTTCTCTAATGAAGTACAGAATACTGTAGCACATAGAGTATAATGATATTTTTCACTTTAGAAACATTTCTTTCCTTGCCCTCGTTGCTAGGACTTTTTGCTGTGAACTAGAAGGAACGATTTAAGCATTTTTATCTCTGATTAATTTTCAAAGGACTAAGAAAAGAGATCAGTTGAAGTGACTTCTAGTAGTTTTCTCTCTTTAGAAACCTTCTCTCCCCTTTCTCTTGTACAGGGTGGACACGGGATAGCACTGTCAGCCTGAAGCTGGGTGTAACACAAGAAATTCCCATTATGTGTGTGAACCCACAGTTTTGAAAGGTTTGGCAATAAAAGGTTGCCTGTTAATTTAAACTGTAAAGTGGGATTTAATTAGCCTGAGTGAACTCGGACAGTGACTCCGTGCTGACTTGTTACTATGTATCCTAGTTTGTGCCAGACTAGAAGTCTGCTACAGGCTTATTTCTGGCAATCTTGGAAGTTGTTTAACTGTTCTGTGCTTTTATTATCCCAAACTGTAAACTGGGGCAGCCTTTGCAAGAGGCTGATTGTCTTGATTCAGACTAATGGTCTCATCCCGTTTCTGCTGGATGTCATTTGAGTCAGAGGTCTTGAGTTGTCTCATGTGTCTCTGAAAGCATTATAGCAGAATAAAACCTTGTTTTTTCAGGATCATCAGGGGGAGATGAGTAATCTGGTCTGACCTCATAGCTATCCTTGCTTTGAGCAGGAGATTAGACTAGAGACCTCCTCAGGTCCCTTGCAACCTGACTGATCCTGCGATGTAAGAACAAAATAGTTGTCTTTCAAGGATGTAGCATATGTGAGGTATACATCTTGCACATTGTGTGATACTTCAGCTTCTCATCCTTTAGTCTGTGAAGTATCTATTTTCCTCACAATTACTGCTTTCTTGCATTCTGGTTAGCAGTCTGTAAGTTGATATCCTCTAAGGAACGTGCTTCTCTATTTTGCTACTAGTAATTTGATTTTTAAATTTGCGGAGATCACTGCTGGCTGAACATGCCGAAGTGGCTGCAGCTGCTGAAAGAGTAGCAAAAATTGATTTGGGCTGCTAGTGTTCTTGAACTGAGAGAAGATAGCCATCTTTTGAATGTACATCCTTTGATCCTCAGAAAATCTGTAGGCCAAGTATGGGATATCCTGTGGAAAGATTTCCAAGGATTTTTTTTTTTTTTACTTTTTTCCCACAGTTCATCCCATGAATGATGAAGGAGGAATGAGACTGACTTCTCAGCAGTGTTTCAATGCCATCTGTATTGTGACAAATTAGGGAAACACCCTCCATGTCAGTACTCTTCCATGTGTGATCTCAGAGTTGCCAGCTGCAGTAGCAACATGAGCAGCATGATATTGAAAGATGTAACAGGCACATTAAAAAGCAGGATGAATGCGTGTACTGGATGTGTTTTGTCCCAGATGTTTAATGGCTTTGAGGACAATAGGGAACTCCACAATATCCTTGGCTGTACCACATCTCCACTGGGGAACTTGCACCATTTGACCAATGCTTAAAAAACTCTAACAGCTTGTGAGGGCCAGGGAGCAGGAGGTGCTGGGCTATCAGCAGGGTGAGAAGCAACGGTAAAGCATAGTTAGAAAAGGCCCTGAAGGAGAAGAGCTTTTGGCAGTGAGGTCAGTGCTCTTGAACTGTAGCCATGTAGAAGCTGAAGTAGGTGATCTGAGTCCTGATCAGTGAGCCAAGAGATTCCCCTTTGAAGTACAGAGGAAAAAAAGTCACAGCTTAGAAACATGTCTGGTTTATATCCAGAGGAAAACTCCCCCTATGCCTAGGTACTGGTTTTCCTTCTACTAGCATTAAAGAGCTGGAGTGATGGGATGGTGGGAAGTCGGAGGGGGTGGTGGATGAGAGAGAGAGACACTTTGCTGGGTACAGAATCTGTCATTGTCTCAGTGTCTGCTGGGACTTTAAGACCGGTAAGGACCCGACTGTAAGTGTGAGTGATGGGGCAAGAGGGAACTAAGGACGAACAAAATGCTGGGAGTACTGTGTACCTTGAACCTATTGCAAGCGTCTTAACATTGTGGCTAGGCTTTTGCTTGATGGTAGTGCCCTACACAAACAGGAAGGGGGTGGGGGGGTGCGTGTGTGCAAAGAAGATGGGAGCAAACATATACAGTGAGAAGCAATAGAAAGCTCTGATTAAGGAGAATGGTGAATCCTCAGGGAGAGAGAGGACTAATTCCCCAGAGGCAAAGAGCAAGCATCCCGGCAGTGGGTTTTCCAGAACAGGTTGGAAAAGCGCAAGTGGTTTGTAGCGTAGGTGACCCCATATTTCCTCCAAGCCCTAGGTGAGGAAGCTGAATGGGTTTTATGGAAATTTCACTGTGCCTGTTTATTTGTGCTAATCCTCAAAAGTCTTGGTGACTCTTTCAGAGCTACTGTAGACACGTGCTAGTAATGGTTGACCTTTTAATGCTTACAGCCACCGATACAGAGTAAAAAGAACAGGTGACCGTTGCCGGAACATTACTGACTGTGGTATTTTGTTACCCTAGGACTTCCCCAGCTGATGAAAAGAACAGTTCTCGGACAGAAAGGAGGTCTACCTCTGGGCATGCAGAGAACTCGGGATTGCATCTATGCTCCAGGAAAAGGAGAAAGCACGCTGTCTTGTTTGGAGAGCGTGAAGTGGAGGTTCTGTTCGTCTATACGCAACCCATTTTTCTAGAAGCCGGTTCTTGTCTTTCATGTTCTGAGTCTCAGTTTTCAGAAGAACTAAGTTTGCTGTATGGAAGAGGAAAGTGTCCTCTTCTCCTTCTCACGCTTTTTGAAGGAAATTTTTCCTGACATCCTACCTCTTCCAGGTTCTGGGTTGCTTTTAAGGAATCTGTGAATAGAAATAAGATGCCATGAAGTCTTGTATTGTTTATACAGATTGTTCTTTAAAAATTAGATTTAATATTAGTTTTTGTTCTGAGAAAATAAACTAATCTGAGAACTAATGCTAGCAGGGCTTGTGCCAATTTATTGCGCAAGAATGATTAATGTCTCTTTCAGTGTAAGGAACTGGAATTTGGAAACAGGGTCCAGTTTGTTAGTATAGTTAGTTCCCCTCTTAGGCAACACAGTGTGTTTTGCTCTTTGTTTTGGCAGAACATTCCTGTGCATGTTGATGCTAAATTTCAAATTACTTAAGAACACCAGCTTTTTTCTATTCAAGTATTGCTGACTTTTCTAGCTTTGCTCAGGTTGGTTTCCTGTTGGAGCAAAGTCCACTGTATACTGCCTGCATCTTTCTCAACCTAGGCCTTTGTGGGGTGACTGAGTTAATAAACGCAAAACCAAATGCCCCTTAGTGAACCTGTGGCAGGCAAGTACAGAACTAGCAAGAAACCACTTAAATTCCATGGAGGAGGAACCTGGTAATGTGAAACGATGTTTTCATGGTATTTGTCCCATCCAGGTTTGGCTAGGATCTAAACGTAATTCGGTGCCTTGTTGTTGACTTGCAGGGCATGGAGGGTTGCCCGTGGTAAATGTGTGTTCCAAGGTGGCCACTTGCCAAGAAAGAAATGTCTTAAGCATTCTTGTTTTCCCCAGTTCTGCCAGCATCTTTATGGCTTTTGCATTCCATACCACCAGACTTTGACAGTTATCTTAAAATAAAATGCCCTCTCTGTAAGATGCTCTGAAAAGAGAAAAGTGTAGGAAAGCTTTGGGTTGGCAGCATCTTCTAAGCACGCTTCTGGACCCTTCTGCTTGTCTATTTATTCTGGTCCTTTGCCTCTGGAGAAAGTACGTCCTGGTAGCTTAGAGAGAAAAGGTCAAGTCCCGCTGTGCTGCTTAGTGTGAAGAAAGAACAGATGCAAAGGGAACGTGCAGTTTAGGTCACTTGTCGTCTTTTCCCTAAGAGCTATCAGATTATTTTTTCCTAGATCTACTTTTCCGAAATGATTCCAATAGTATAAATCTGGAGATCAGAAAGGAAGAAATGCAGCTCTGTGATACTAACTTTCTTAAATTATATGCCCAAATGCTTTATCTTGCTTCCAGAGTCTTGATGAATAGTGTGCAGTGATAGTATACAACTGAAATACAAATATTGTGTATAAGGTAGTCAGCAAGACTTTTAACTGAGTTGAGCAGGCAACTCAAAGCACACACTTTGATTAAAAGACTACAAGCCTGTGCTCTCATTTTGTTAAATGTGGCTGATTTCCTGTGTGTTGGATTTCCGTAGCTATTGTGGCCAGGGGCTTTCCAGCTGTTCTTCTGTCACATAGACTATGCAGATGGCCTTGTCTCATGCGCTTTGTTTTGGTTTTTTTCCCCTTTTTCAGCATGGTGTTAAAATCTCGTCCCCATCAATCACCGTTTGGTTGGCAATAAAGTGGACGACTTGCCGATTCCTTTTTGCTGGGTAGACACTAGATGGCAATGCATCCCTCGTAATACTTTGTCAAAGGCAAGCAGTTCAAGGGTTTGTTTCTGATGGGCTTTATATCTGGATGTTGGTCTTTTTCTGTTCAAATTGTTCCAATAACTTCTTTTGATCAGAAGCTGATGCCAGTTCCATACAAGGAACAGAGAACTTACTGTTTCATGACTGTTACAGTAAGATATGAGGCCTGAAGACATAAATAGGATAGAATTTTCCAGCACGAAGTAGCTGTGCTTCCTTAGCCTTTTGCAGATCTGAAGTGTGGCATTTTGGCATTTGTCTAGCCTTTGAGTGCTGGCATCAAGCGAGCATGGATGGGTGCATCTGAAAATGGAAACTTGTACCTGTGTAAATAGCTGACGCTGTGAAAGCAGAACCTGCGGTTTTCCAAAGCTGCATGGAGAAAACTCCTTGTGGAAGGCATCAGTCCTGCAAAATCTTAAGTATACACTATGCACTTTGTGCTTGGTGCTTGGGTGCTGGGGATGCTAAGGAGTTTTGTAAGTCTTGGCAAAATCTCTGCTCCTACTATCAGCTGCCTGCTGCAAACTGCACGTTGCAGTGCTTCCAGTAATGTCAATTATCCTTCCCTGAGGATGTCTCCCAGCCCAGGCCTGTAACTTGCATTTGACCTAGAGTCTATCCCAAGGTTGATGGCTGGTTTGCTGATACATTAAGGACTTCCTATTGTTAGCTGGAACTGGCCAAAGTGAAATTTTCAATTTTTATCTTATATAATAAATAATTGCCAATAACTACTACTACTTTTTTTTTTTAAGAAATACAAACTTTGAGCCTCTGGGCAATATCAAAAATATTTTTGGATCTTTGATGAACGTTAAAACAGAAATGCAACTCTTTGAGCAAAACAAAAAATTTGCAGAGAATCTCAATTTATAATTGTCAATCACTCAACTTTGACCTTTAAGTTTGTTACTGGGATTTTTTTGGGCCAAAATGCCCTTCCCCGCCCCCCCCCCCAATAGTTTTACAAACATCTTTGGAGTGTTCCGTGGAGAAACTGTTACAAAGGCTTGTTACCTTTTACAGTTCAAAAATGGTCTTGTATTTCCAGTTTGGGTTTATCTAATGTCAACTTGCAGCTTCTGAACCTTGCTGAGCATTTGCTAAATTAAAATACTTAGCGTGTGATATCTTCCTGGGGTGGGTGTGCTTGAGTTTAAGCAAAACCGAAGAGACTGTCTGCCCTCAATCCCTCCCTGTCAGTTCAGTTCCTCAGTCTGTGAAGCAAAGATAAAACCTATATGAAGTGTTAAAAATAAATCCCTGCCTCCTGTGTGTCAGCAGTGAGTCAGGTCTCCCAGCTTGTTGCCCTCCCTTGCAATGTGCTTGGTGCCAGTAAGCCCCCAAGAAACTAAGTGGGGGCAGCGTGACCCAGCTCCTTGGCCTGTTGATTCCAACGGCAGCTAACGCTGCAAACCTTGGAGAGGGTCGGTACACATCCATGTCCCTGGTGGGTCGCCTGTTTGAGCCTGGACTTGCAGCCTCTCCTTTGCTCTGCCTGGAGCAGCAGTAGGCTGGAACGGCGGGCAGGTAACAGAAACGCATGAGGTGGCAGAGCCGAAGATGGAGTGACATGTTGATGGCACCTGAGAACCTCTCAGCTTCAGCAGTGAGGGAGATGCTGGAAGGCGCTCCAGGTTTTGGCAGCTCCCGCTATGGTCTGAGCTCAACCCAGTGGATCTGGCTGCTGATCTCCTTCCCCACCTGCACAGGCGCTTGGGGTGGCAGATGCAGAGACCGCTGAGGTATGCATCTGCCATGTCTAAATGTTAATCTGACATGTTAGCTGGGGCAAAAGCAGGTCAGACAGCTGTGTCTGGGCAGGGCAGGCCACTCGGTCCCCTCCACCTGGGCTGGCCACATCTGCTCGGAGGAGATGGGTGCGCTCAGCACCCTGCGCCAGGGCCTGTGGGGGCTCTCCCATGGCTGGAGCGGCAGCCTCACAGGGCAGACGGATAGCTGCGCCTTTTCGTTTTGGTGGCTGTTTCTGAAAGTCAGCAGAGCGGAAACTACTCGGTGGCGCCAGCTGCCTTGCTGCTGCCGAGCCCCGAACGGGCACCGAGCGCGCTCCTATTTTTACATGTTCTGCTCTCCCTGCCCCCTCGTTTGTGTTGGCACGGGCTGGAGAACGAAGCCGATTTAATTGGCAGTTGTGTTTGTGGCCAGGGTGTTATGAAAAGGTTTTCTGTCTCTCTCTGTAAGTTACACTGAATGTGTTTTCATTCTTAATATAATATTCACTTCATTATTAGCTGAAAGAGGCTCTTTTGAAAGACTTTTTTTTTTCCCCCCCCTCGTCCAAAAATATATTAAACAGTCCCTTCATGCAGCAGCGCTCTGAGGGCTGGGATTGTCTGCCGGAGGGGAAGTGAGAAACCCGATGGTAAATGGGATTTATACAGAAATTCCTTTCTTTCCCAGGGTGCTTAAACAGTGCCCCAATGTGTTGAAACGGCTGCTGGCTGCGAAGCCCAGGCATTGTTGCTGCTTTTCGCCGAGCGCGAGAGCTGGGTTGGTTGCGAGTGATGGATGAGGTGTTCTCTGCGGGGGAATTCAGGGGAGACCTGCAAAGCGCGGATCCGTAATGCAGTCACGTTATCCCTTTAGCAGGCTTTTCCCCTTTGCTGTATGGTCTTTTTCCTTCCCGCAGGGCAGAGACACGAGTGGGTGCCGGCTGGGTCTGTTGGCACCCAGAGCTGGAATTTCCTGACGGTGACTGGTCATGCATAGCTGGGCCCGGCGTCAGGAAATCCTGTGTGCGCTTCGCGGGGTTACTCAGCTCGTTCCTGTATTAGGTGGCAAAGGCTTTTCCTGCATCAGCAAGGTTGGGGGGATTTGTTCTTTGTTAGGTGGATTTTAGGGGCATCGCGTGCAGCTGGGGCCCCTGCGTACTGGTGTCTGTGCCGTTCTTTTTACGAGCTCTACGAAAGGTGAAACTTCTGTAAGATTTTTGCCTCTAACATCTAAAAACCTGATGACCTGCAGGAGAAGGAGTGGAGAGCCGCTCTCAGGGGCGAGATCATCCCCAGAGCATCCAGCCTTGTGTGCCTTCTGAGGCTGGCTCAGCCCTCCCTTGGGCACTGAACGGTGGAGGACTTGTTTGGTCCGGGGGGAAACTGGGCTTTGCTTTCCTCTTGTGCGCTCTTCAGAGCTCGTCGAAGGGCACACG